AAATGGAAACATCATAGTTGTGTAGGCAGTCTTTTAAATAATAACCTTGACTGTAGGGGACTTTGGAGTAACAAAGGTTGAGAACTGCCAGTCTAGATGTTGTTCTAATGTAATCCAGCCTTTCATGCAACGTGTTAACAATGAAAAGCATTTTATTTCATTCCTATGCAACCTGTGACTCCTGATGGCACATCCATTCATTTCAGCCCCCCCCCCCCCCTCTAACCTACCACTTTGCACAATCTAAACCTGGTCCTGTCTGGACTCTTGCCCCCTGGCTCGCACCCACCTCCATAATCTGCCCTCCCCACAGGGCAGAGTGAGATGGGAAGCGATAGAGGCCCTCCACCGTGCTGCGATTATCAGGTCAGGAAGGCTCTGTGTGTGTTAAATGTGAAAGAAGATTATATGGATTTAACTCTCTGCGTCTGGCGTACAAATTCCAATCACATAACATATCCCTTCATGTTCTATGGGAATATAAAAAGAGAGGGAGAGAGAGTGATGGATGGAGAGGGAAAGAATCCAAACCCCCACCTTACCCAGTAAAAGCTTTAGCTCTAATCTGAGCCTTTCAATTCTCTAGCATCACTTTTTTCATGTTTTTCATTCTATGTTTCGCATGAATTTATATTTTACATTTTGCATGATTTTTTTTCTCAATAAAATAAATATTATTATTGTCCTTTGTAAGCCTTTAAATGGAGTAGCCTATAACTGTCACAAGTAAGAATAACATTATTATAGTCATTACATGAATAGAATATCTTCTTGTGTCTTTCGAAACCCATTTAACTTACTATTTTGTGTGGCACACACTAAGAAAGATATTTTATAGAATGTTCAAGCTGCTTATTTCCATACAATTAAAGTGAACTTTCACTGCATTAAAACAAGCTGCATTTTCATTTTTAGGTGAACTATTCCTTTAATATTTAGTGTTATTGGGTATGAATTCCAATTTCATATTTATTTTTATATATTTTGATGCTGTCTGTTCAGTATGCGGAAGCTTATAGGTACCTCATTGATTTTAATGACATGGTAGCATGTCACCATTATTCTTTCGAACACAATGAGAACCACAAGAATGGGGGTTAATCCAGAAATTGTTGACATAAACCTGGTGGGGGGGCATTAATTAAATGTAATTGCCTTAGAAGAAAATTATCTTGCTTTGGGCTTGTGTCTCCCTTGGCTCGGAGCCAGAGCTGAGCTAAGCAGTTCTCTGAATACAAAAAGATACAGAGCCACCCCACCCGAACCATGTAATCCGTAATAGAGCCTGCAGATAATAGAGATGCCAGAATGGTAAATCGCTAAAATGCCGCCTTTAAAGGACATCATTAGCTATGCTGCTAAATTAGCACGCGTGTTAATTTACGCAAACCGCCACTTTTTTTCTCTTTTCTCACAGTAGTCTGGATTTGGTAATACACCAAGAGCGAATGATTGTCTGATCCACATTAGCTGTCAGAGAGGTTTGTAGATACATTGTGGGGATTCTATGACCTATTTATTCTCCTATCAGACGGCAGCATTCAGCACGGCTCGCACCGCACACATATTAGATTAGTGATATTCTTTAATGCCTGGCCTACAACTGTGCTGTTATAGCTGTCATTGGGTTAAGGTTGGACAAGTCGTTTTGGTAAGGAAGCATCTGCCAAGAACATACACAGGAAAGATGTGAATGGAAAGTAAAGATCCACTCTTGCTGTGGACAAAGTTGGCTTTTGTTTGGAAGCCTCACCGATTCTTGCATCTGGCTTTGCTCATTTACTTCTGTGTTTGCTTTTGTGGAAATGGCAGCATTTTCTATTTTACAAGGAGTCATATTAACATTCTATAGAACTTAGTCAGGGTAGCGCCATATTTAATTTTTGGCATGAATGAAAATGAGATTGTGAGGGTTAGAACTTAGTACTCTGCGTTAAATGGATTGTACTGTTCTTTACAACAGACAGATTGCTCAGCTTACGAAAGAAAAAAAAAACGTGTGAGTTAGCAAAAAGGATGTGATCTAGGACCTTTAGTGTGTCCCATTGTAAAGACTGTAAAGGCCTGTTTACACCAAGAACGTTAACTATAAAGCTAAGTATATAATATTGTCTGTTTATTCTAAACACACAAATTCTCAAGCTCATTATATAAGGATTGATTCTGATTGGGTGCCAATGTTTTTATCATTCATCAACTGGAAAAAATTGTTCTGAATGTGATTCTAGCGATATCGTTTCTCTATGCCTTTATCATTATTGCTGTGGTGTGGACTCTGCTGTTCTTTGTTATTGAGAACGATTTTTAGAACTATATCTTTATTGTTGTCTTTATAGTTATCATCCTTGTTGTGAACAGGCTTCAAGTCTTTCCTTCACAGCCACGTTTACGTACGTGTTAAATTCAATATGGCGTCTAGCCTGACTAAGATGCTAAAGAATCTTGGGTACATTTCCCAAAAGTATAGTTAGCCAACTATGGTTGCAAGTTCTGTCGTTATCAGCATAGTTCAAAGATTTGGTGTTTACCGAAACCATAGTTCCAATTAATACTGGCTAACAGTATTGGAACTACAGCTCTCGACTTAGAAGGTTAGAAGTATAGATTAATTATACATCTTTCAGTTTATCAAGAGATGGTCAACACAGTCTTTCAAGAGTGTGAATGTGCTAATGAAAGAACATGCAACCATAGTTGGCTAACAATACAGGCAACAAATGCAACCTTTAGAGGTTGAATTTGAAATGACACTGCTATTGTTTCATTCTTGAACCAATTATTTAGCATAAGTTATTATTACCACCTGTGTGACTCAAATTGTAACAAATATGATGAACCAACGTGGTTCGAACAACAGATGTGTGATAAAGTTCAAATATGAACCAACTTGTTCCAAACAACGAACGGGCGACAAAATAACTGCGGCTTTTGGAAGCAGTTATGACTAGCTACAGTAGTTAATTTCTCCAATGTTGCATCATACTGTGGTAATCACGCATCAGTTGTGATGTCAACATTAAATATGTTGAACCAACGTGGTTCGAATTACAGATATGCGACAAAGTACACATATGTTGAACCAACTTTTCCGAATGATGGGCGTGCGACAAAATATCTGTGGCATTGAGATACAGTTATGACTAGCTAAAGTAGTTAATTTTTCCAGTGATGCATCATACTATTGTAGCTAAGCATCTGTTGTGACGTCAACATCAAATATGTCGAATCAACTCCGAACAATGGATGTGCGAAAAAAGTAACTGCAACTTTGGAAAACATTTGTGACTAGCTACAGTAGTTAATTTCTCCAACTATGCATCATACTATCGTAGTTAAGCATCAGTCGCAACGTTGACATAAGAAATGTCTAACCAACTTGTTCCGAATGCCGGACGTGCGTTAAAGTAACTGCAGCTTTAGGAAACAGTTGTGACTTGCTACTGTAGTGACAAGCTGACCTAGCTTCCCCATATAGATTGTGCACTTGGTAAACGACCAGAGGCGGACAGTAACTAAGTACATTTACTTGAGTATTGTACTTACGTACACTTTTTGAGTATCTGTACTTTACCTGAGTATTATTTTTTCTGGAAACTTATGACTTTAACTTCACAATATTTGAAAGACAAATATTGTACTTTTCACTCCACTACATTTCTATCAAGATCCTCGAAGTAGAAAGTCGTTAGCAGCTTTGAAAGTCAGTGGGTGATTTTTTTTTTCTTCTCTAAAACGTGACTTTCTTTTTTCAGACAGTTTATCAGTAATCACTCATGGGGCTACATAAAGTGATTTCCCAGCATTTTTTGAGCACTGACCAGTTCCAAATGTGATATTTATTTACAACAATTCAATAATAATAAGTTAATATTGTGGTTTATATTAGACACAATATTGTCTGATTTCGCTAAATTGTGTAAGTGAAAATATTACCTATATAGCCACATAAGAACTGTTGTGCATCTACTAATAAAACACAAAAGGTGTTTGACTTAAACAGCACTGCAGACCATTCTGTGTATGACATCAAAGTACCACTAGAGTGATTAGACAGCATTTTAAAAATGTTTGTTTTGATGTCAAATAAGTCTTGCTGTTTTGCATTTTTGTTAAAGTGGTGTTGCTGTTGTAAAGTTATACAGCTACAGTTGTGTTGCTGGGTTTTAAAGCAGGTTTGATTTTTTATTTTCTTCCTTATCAGTCTGTATTTACAGCAATTTCACTGTCCACTCTGTTCAAATGTGGATGAATGGTTACACATAGATGTGTCCAGAGTTGTGTGAGATCACTACCATCCTGCTTTTGTGGGGGTGGGTAGGGGTGTTAAATAATTATAAATTAAAAAACAAAAATTCCCATAGGTTTTTAACATTCTAAAAGCTCATTATTCCAAAGATACTACAAGCTAGTCAGTCTATTCAGTAGGTGTAATGTATTGTAAGTTGCTTCAGAGGTATTGCAAGTATTACATACAACAATAATAAAACAGTGCATTGACATAAATAAGGAAATTTACTTTTGGTACTTAAGTACTTTTAAAAGCAAGTACTTCTGTACTTTTACTTAAGTAAAAATCTGTCCTTACAACTTTTACTTGTAATGGAGTAATATTTGACCAGCAGTATCTGTACTTTCACTTAAGTAATGGAGTTGAGTACTTTGTCCGCCTCTGTAAACGACAAACAAATAATAAGATAAAGGACAATTTCTGGTTGCATCATCTTCCCAATCCAGTGATTGATTTCTAAATTTGAATTTAGTTGTGCTGACCCAGTGGGAACTTCTCTGGGATAATTCAATCAGAGCATGGCCTGCACTTTACCAGACATGAATGTGAGGTGGAAGTTTGCCAGAATGACACACAGTGCTTCTTTTACGATTTCAAAGTGCCGTAACTCAAAGGTACAAGTATGCATTGGCCCCTTTACCTGTCCAGGTGTTGATTTGAAGAATAAAATTCTTTGGTCACTTCACAACTGACCATGTTGTCTCTCTTCCAGTGCACAGCGAGGATGTGGTCTCGACGCGGCTGTACTTTGTGAATGCTTCCCTGCAGAGAGTGACCTTCTCCAGCTCAGTGGGGGTGTCCCTGCCCTGTCCTGCGGGTGGCGCCCCCCATGCCGTCCTCCGCTGGTACCTGGCCACTGGCGACGACATCTACGACGTGCCACACATCCGCCACGTTCACGCAAACGGCACGCTGCAGCTCTACCCCTTCTCTCCCTCTGCCTTCAACAGCTTCATACACGACAATGACTACTTCTGCACTGCCGAGAACCAGGCCGGCAAGATCCGCAGCCCTAGCATCCGTGTCAAAGCAGGTGAGACATGATCCCATCCATCCATCCATCCATCTGTCTGTCCATCCATCTATTCAATCTATTTATATGGTGGTGTAGTGCAGCGAGTAAAGGTCAGGGTTGGCAACCACTAAGTTTCTTAGTCAGATCTCACAAGGAACAGGCCATGACCGATTCTCACTATAACTTAAGTAGTTGCTTATTAGCATGCATATTAATAGCATATTGACTGTGCATTAGTACTTATCAAGTACATATTAATGCCTTATTCTGTAAGACCATATTTTAGACTTAAACTTAATATCTACCTTACTAACTATTAATAAGCAGCAAATTAGAAGTTTATTGAGGCAAAAGTTGTTGTTAATAGTTAGTAACTAGTGAGAATTTGTCCCCAATCTATAGTGTAAGCAAAACTTGGTTAGTCATTATATATAACACCTTAATTCTGTCAATAGCTGGTGGACAGAAACATTTTCTTAATAAATATGAATATAAATATAAATAAATATATCTGTATACACTACCTTTTTGTATTCAGTTTTAGTATATACACTATCAAGTTAAAATAATACTTTTATATTAATATATTAATAATATAAAATAAATTAATACTTTTATATTGATACTTTTACTGTCATAAGTGACAGTAAAGACATTTGTAATGTCAGAAAAGGTTTGTATTTCAAATAAATTATATTTTCTTATTTTTTTTCATTGAAGAATTCCGGAAAAAAAATCATGGAAATATTAAGCAACACAACTTTTTCTATCAACTATTACTATTTAAAAAATATTAAAATAAAGTTATTTTTTACAGTGTAGTAAAGTTTTAACTTTTTTTGTACTTTTATATAAAATCTACATTTCCCAGTGAAAAGGTGAAACCATGTCATGATTTCATTCATTATATTTCAGTGGTCCTCATAGTTTGGAAGTTTAAAAATAAGAAAATTCCATGTGTCAAATGGATTTATGTGCTTAGTTTTTCTGTAGGATCATTCTCAACACTTATATCTGTGATGGTCTGATTATCTCTCTTACAGTTTGATGTGTGTTACATAGCAGGCCCTTATACATTTTTATTTACAGCCCTTTTATTGGCGCTGAATTTTTTGAGCCTGTGCATATCCTTACTACAATCTGTGCACGGTAAAACTTTAGTTTGGGGACCAGTTATTACTATGAACTAGTTGCTTATTAGCATGCCTATCAATAACATATTGGCTGTTTATAAGTACTTATAAAGCACATATTCTGCATGACCATATTCTACATCCCTAATCCTATCCAATACCTCAACTATACGACTACCTTACTAACTATTAATGAGCAGAAGATTAGTAGTTTACTGAAGCAAAAGTCATAGTTAATGGTTTATTAATAGCGAGAATTTGACCTTAAAATAAAGTGTGACCCTGCACACTTGTACCCTGAAAGACTGCAATGGCTTTAGTTTTCATCAACATCTCTTTACAGACCATAATGCTCTGAGAAAAGAGCATAGTCAATGCAGGCGCTGTGGCAGAGGGGGGCGCGTGACGTTACAGGTGGAACATGAGTTCTTAACTTAACATCTGCAGTAACAGCAGAAGTAGCAGCCGCCATATTGCTAACCTAAATAAGAATGTAAGTGCCAAATGGATGTCCCAGTGGCCGGCATGTTGACCTGGCTGCTTTAAAAAGCAGCGCACAGACGGGCACACGGCGCTACAGACAGTTGGCTGACTGACCCTCCCACTCGGTGCCAAGGTCACCGCTCGTGAGTGGGGCTGGCCGCCCAGCAACAGCGAGGGATATCCATACACCTCCCTACACTCACACACTCACTCTTATGCCAGCCTGTGCAGTGCCAGTGTCCCTCCTGTCTCCCAGTCTCCATCTGTCCTCTAAGCTAGAGTTCCCATCTCACACACACGCACACACACGTACGCATTCACCTACTCTGAATTTCCCAGAAATAACCCCATTGAGCTCACACCTTCATAAATAACGTCAGCTTGAACGATTCTTCAAATGTAACCAGGCGTGTTCGGCCCATGCTACTTTTTCCACCTTACCCGCATTAACATTAAAGTCTCAGAGGATGGAATGAATTACCTACCAACCGGCGACAAGACGGGGGTGACTTTCGCCTCAAATAATTACACTAATTAATCAATTAAGTGCTGAGATGCAGCAAAACTGCTAGTGGACCTAGCAACCCACACAGAGCCCTGAGGAACCCAACACTGGGGCTCCCTCACCAGCCAATCAGATTCTGGCACTGAGGGGTTACCATGGGTACGGTGAAGGGAGGGGCAGGGTGTGGCGCTGAATGTCTCAGGTGGCACTGGAGAATGATGACAGCTGACAGCTCACTGTATGACACCATCCCCCCCATGCATGTCTCTGTCTCTCTTTCTCTCCCTCCTCCTCTTTTCTCACCCACTCTCCTGCATGCTGATCCTGTGCCAATAATAGCACGGGCACCTGTGTGGATAGCTCTACATTTATGAAAATCTCCCTATGAGGGCTTCATATGAGTGTTTGTGTGTTTCTCCTTGCACTCACTGTTCATTTTTTCATTTAGCCTTTTACAGTGTCTAAACTTTTAGCATGTCAGTTGTTTGTGTCCCCGTTTTCCTGTATACTATAGGCAGGCTATCCATCCATCCGTCTCTATCTATCTATCTATCTATCTATCTATCTATCTATCTATCTATCTATCTATCTATCTATCTGTCTGTCTCTCTGTCTGTCTGTCTGTCTGTCTGTCTGTCTGTCTGTCTGTCTGTCTGTCTGTCTGTCTATCTATCTATCCATCTATCCATCTATCCATCCATGCATCCATGCATCCATCCATCCATCTACCTACATACCTGTCTGTCTGTCTGTCTGTCTCACTGTCTTTATATCTATCCTTTGGCTGAGTATAGTGGGAAGCAGGTAATTGACAGGAGGTTAAAGACGAGTTAAATGCAGAAATTTGCTTAGCAGAAGCCATGCTATATTAACTATATCACTTCTATAATCCTAAATACACAGTAGCATGTTTAATGGAGAGTGTCGTACATCCTGTATTGAGTTTGTCTAAAGTCAGCTCCAGGGTTAAACACAGACCTCGTGCGATGAGTGTGGCAGGTGCACTGTGACACAGGCTCGCTCTTCCTTTCTTTCAGCCCTTTGTTTCTTTGGCTCCCTGCCTCCTGAAAGGTCATGTTCATTTTTTTTCACCATTACATTAATGAGCACCTTTCACCACCTCATTCTTATTCAATTTGGATCTTTTCCCCTTTTTTATACGTGATGAATAAGTAAATACGGTATTTGGTTTCTCTCAAGTTAATTATTTAAACGATAGTGATACAGGACTCCGTCCTCCTAGTGTGCGCAAAAGGAGAAAGAGAGCACCAGCCCGTGTGTCAGTCCGTTTCCAAGCAACCGATGAGTATAGTCAGGCATCAGTAACATTCTAATGATTCCGCACATGAAGACGGAGAGTCATTTGTCCATAAAAAATGCTATCTGCTATTGTTGTCTGCAAATTCATCTGTGAATTTTACGCATGCATTATTGAAGCCTCAGAGATGCTTTGGCTTGTTTATGCTCCTTCGACCGCAGTAAAACAACATTCCACAACCAGGTGTAGCGCAATCCGAGTTGAGGTGAAAATAAAACTAGCTAATAGAGGGCTGCTTTGAGTTAGTTTATCTTTAGAAATTCAATAAAGCCAGAGACTCGCAGTCAATCAATGACTGAATAAATGATTATTTGTAGACTATGGAGTCCTGAGTGTAATAGGGAGTTCTATTGATTTGTTATATTGATTCAAATCTCATCTGCATCGGTAAGAAGCTGGTTAGTTAACAGTGAGCAAATATACACAGCCTGTTTTAACTTACTCAATCATCTTTCATTTACATATTTTCACAGGCCAATTAAATATTGAGAAAGAAAGAAAGAAAGAAAGAAAGAAAGAAAGAAAGAAAGAAAGAAAGAAAGAAAGAAAGAAAGAAAGAAAGAAAGAGAAATATAATGACTGGGCTCAACGATTCATGACTTAACTATCAGACAAGGACACTGATTCGCCTCGCTGTGGGTGACACTGGCACCTGGCAGAAACCGTTATTAATGACCAAGGAAATTCACCTGCAAGCCAGGCGTTAATTATATATAGAAATAGAGGTAGCGAGTGAAAGCGAGACAGGAGGGGGTGGCCTCAGAGCGCGGTTGTGGGTGATTGCCACATTTCATGAATTCTTATGATCGGTCTCTTTTTTGATGGGTTGAAAAAGCTGCATGGTTGAATTGGCCGCGAATCCAATTGCAATACCCACAGAGTTCTCTGAAAAAAATCCCCCGACTGTGTGATCAAATTTGCGGCGTCATGTTCGTGAATGAGATGCCCTTGCTCTGCGTCTTGCGTTACTTCCCCAAAGATACGAGGGAGAAATTAAAATCCGTAAGTAAATAGATGTTGATGAAAGACACAAAGCAAATTGAGTCCCTGAAATTAAAATGAAATTCAGCGCCTCCTTTAATCTGCTCGCGCTCCCCTGTCGACCCTTTACCGTAGGCCGATCTCTTCACCCGTAAATAACATCTTTGTACCCTGCTTGCTTTGTGTGTTCTTCTCGTCTATTGATTTTTTCGTCCGGGTTCTGGTTGTCAGTTGCAGAGAGGGTCCCTTTAGTAGGGGCAAATGTTTCTGACAGCTCCAGAGGTTGTGCAGTGTCGTCCACTCGCCGCCGTCTGCATGCATTGCCAGGGTGATTTATAAAAAGGCCACTTCTTGAACTCTTGAACACCTCTTGACGAAAATAAAAACCATACATGTAAACAATTGACTTTAGTGTTATTATTAGTGCTGTAAAACGATTAATCGCGATTAATCACATCCAAAATAAAAGTTTTTGTTTACATAGCATACGTGTTTGTACTGTGTATATTTATTATGTATATATTTTGAAAATATTTACATGTATATATTTATATTCATGTCATTTATATTATATATAAATATATTTAATATGTAAACGTAACATACTTTTCTTAAATATTTACATGCATGGGTGTGTATTTATATATACATAATAAATATACACAGTACACACAGATATAGCATGCAAACAAAAACTTTTATTTTGGATGTGATTAATCGCGATTAATCGTTTGACAGCACTAGTTATTATTATTATGATTATTTAAAATGTATTACTCTTGGGTCTGCCATTAATATTATTGGTGATATTGCATTAGACGAAAATAAAATTTAATGAAATTAAATAACCAGAAAAGGATATCTCAATTGCATGCTTGATTAGAGGATTATTTTCTTTTTGAACAAGTCTGTAAAAATATAAAATATAAATTTACAATTATACAAAATTGAATATAATTATTTAATAAGTAATAAATAAATTCCAACCTCTGTTTTTCTTCTGCCTCATCATGAACAGTGTTCAGGGAACCTTACACAGTTCGTGTGGCGGACCAAAGGTCCATGCGGGGCAACGTGGCCGTCTTCAAGTGCCTCATCCCCTCTGCTGTGCAGGAGTACGTCAGTGTGGTGTCCTGGGAGAAGGACACTGTCTCCATCGTCCCAGGTAAGAAATACCTTGCATGGATGGGCTGTTAAAATAACCACAGATTTGAAATCTGTTATGTTTTCATACATTTTAAGTTCCTAAATCTGTAAAGGAAGCCTTGTTGCAACTGCAGTTTGCAGTTTATTTGCTCTGTCATTCAAAGGGTGGGAAGGTCATTCTGGTTTCAAAGTGTGGAAAACGATGGGTGTTATTTGGGAGTCTAAATAGGATCGGGTCAGCAAACTTAGGCATGCGTGAACATTCTGGACAATATATGGTTATAAATATATATTTTTTTGTGTATAGTTTAATGGCTGAAAGATTGGTGACCCTCTTACTGACTGCATAATGAATTAGGCTCAATCTCCAAAATTGATTTTGGACTTTACAATTAAATTTTTCATTTGTGTTTTTAAATTTTTTTTATTGAACATTCAACTGAGGTGTCAAAATGGAAACAAAAGCCCCTGTCTTTTATTCTTAAGGTCTCTGCACACTGAGTCCAAAATTTTCCTATGCATTTTTTCGTATTCGAAATACTAAAAATTCATCATGCACAGAAACCTTGCACACTGAGTCCGATACGTATTAATTAATCAGTTGCGAAAAATTCGCAAAACAGCACTAAATGGATTCTTCAAGCAGTGAGGATGGTTTTATTGTCTTCTCGCCTCTTAAAAAGAGAAAAAGAGAGGAAATATTGGGTCCATCCAATACTGCGATATAGAGAGGACGGAGAGTCTATTAACAAGAAGACCACCAATTTCTGTGAACTCAGTGTGCAAGGGATCTTTACGGTCCTTTGTGTGAAACGGATGAACTTGACAATCGCCATTCTGGATTTTAGCGTTCGCTGGTACGGTGGCTCTGAACTGTCAAAACACCTCTCAAAATGCCTGCAATGGATGCGAAAAATTTCGGAGGCAGTGTGTAAACGTGACTGACATAATGTGAGGTCGTATTTATTTTTTAAGGTGCGAAAATTTCGGACGAAATTTTCGGACCCAGCCTGCAATGACCTTTACTCTAATGTTCTCAATATGGTCTTAAAGAACTCTCTATTAATCAGTCCTAATTCATTTTGGCCTTTTTTAATATCTCCCATTTTGCCTGGATGGAGTGGAAACCGAAAAATAGGACAATTCAACAAAATGGAACTGAATCAAGACACGTAATGCTCTGTACCGTCAGAATGGATGATTCTCACTCAGTCTCAATAGTATCTAACACGGTATGCGTACAACATTACACAAAGATTTTCATGGGGGTAATGTCCTGGGAGGTTTGTCTGAGAATGACTAATATGGTTGCAAATTCAGGCTAAATTAATCTATGACTCACTACATCTAACTAGATTGGGACCAAATGTTGGTTTGTAGTTATTGATAAACACATTTTGTATAAAAATGTGATCTTATTGTAACTTAAAACCTGGCTATTTTTCATGCCATGTTTTATGTTCTATTACGGTTTATTGTTAGGATTTGTGCCTATAATTTAATGTTATTTTTGTATAATTTATGTACTATTATAATATGTATTCATATTTTAAATGAGCTTTTATTTTGATATTATCAGTTTTTGTTTTGATTTTATTTGTGCTGAAAATCATTTAATTAATTTGGTGATCACAGTAAAAAATGTGCAGCCTTTTAAAAATTGCATGTGAATATAACATTATGCTATATTATTACCAAATCTTGGATTCAATCTTTTTGTCAACTTGTTTTCTTTCAATTAGCGCAGATTTTTGTATTTCATTTTGGAGCTGATTGATCGTAGGCATCATTGATCTAAAAACCCATTATAATGGAAAGGAACCCAGTTGCTAGATTGAATCCAATATTTGGTAATAATATAGAATAACATGAAATTTATAAGCAGTTGTTAAGTTATACTGTATGTGAGCAAGTTTTTAGTGCAATGCATTAGTGCAACATTAACTAGCATTTTTGTGAAAAAGAAATCCTCTCCAGGTCGAAATAACTGCAACACAACATAATTTTACTGATTTTGTTATGTGCTTGTAATTTTTTACAAATTTTGTTTAATATATATATATATGTGTGTGTGTGTGTGTGTGTGTGTATATTTATTTAGTTATTTATTTCAGTTTTAATAATTATAATACTTTATTTATTTAGTTACCAAGGCAACATTTCTAATTGTCATTTAAGTATTCTAAATGTATGCTTTCACCTAATATTTATATATAATTTCTGCTTTATTTCAATTACAGAACATATGTTTTAATAGTTTTTATTTGACGTTTAATTAACAATAATAACACTGCTCTAATCCTTTTATAAAAAAATGTATAGGACACCAAAGACTATTGTAATCCTGAAAAAACAAACAAACAAAAAAAAACTTGTTTTCAGGGGGCTCAAGATATAACTGCAGTGCTGAGACCTCCCTAATAATTCCCACCCTGTATATGTGTGTCTGCAAACCAGTCTGATAGTGGACAAATGCTTTTTCACTTTATCAAATTCCCTCTAAAGGCAGCAAAAGGATTCTGCCAAGAGTGTTTTCTTGAGTAGCGGAGTTCCTAGCTCAAGTGGGGGAGTGTGTGTGTGTGTGTGTGTGTGTGTGTGTGTGTGTGTGTGTGTGTGTGTGTGTACGTTTGTGTGAACCCTGGCCTTGTAGTTGATTGGAAAATCAATAGGTGCTGCTTACACCGGCCAAGTCAGATGGAATCAGTGACTAGAGTCTCTCTCTTTCTCTCTTTGCTCAGTTCATCTTTCTCAATGGAGGTGTGCATCTCCCTGCCCTTCACACTGGAGCGCTCATTGATCCGCTTTCGCTGTGTCAATGTGTATCAGTATAAGGGGTCCAGAGGTTTCCAGCAAGTATCGATTGATTACATGCTCGGATTCCCCTCTCTCTTGTCATGGATGCGGACGTGTGAGTGGTCATCCACACGATACGGGGGATTGTGGGAAAATGTCCGTAGTAGATGTACACCTTGGCGGAGTGTTCCAGGCCAGCGCTTTTGTTGTTTTCTCCTCTATCTGTTGTGTATCATTGTTGTGGCTGACCGTGACTTCCAGTTTAATTGATTAACCAGTCGCTTTAATGGATTAACAGAAGGTCACACTTCCAGCTCTAGCAAACTGACTCTGACACTCTTTGCTTAAAGATTACCCAGCACATCAATCGAGCTACACAATTCTAATGATCTGCTTCAACGTGAGCAAAGCTAACCCTCTGGTTTATCTTGATAAATTTAATAGACTTTAGTTATGTTGTGGAATAAAGGAAGGCTGCTTCAAAGGTTTCTCTTTGCAATGTAATGAAAGTGAATGTTGCCTAGTGTTGTCAAGCTCAAAATGATAAAAAAAGTATCATAAAAGTTATATATATGAGGTGCACGCTATATTAGGATCTTCTGAATGCATATGACAGCATTATACAACTTGAACATCAAGAGTTAGATGGAGGGGAAGATTTCAGTTTGTATGATTTAAATTAATTATAATAATTAAATGAATAATAATAATAATAATAATAATAGTTTGATTTATTACATAATAATAAATAAATAAATTATTCATTTTTTTTTATTTTTTATTAGATTTTAATCATCCAATTTTAATACATATTTGATCATAATTATGTTACAGTTCAAACGTTTGTGGTTAAGAAATAAATACTTTTATTCAACAAAAGTGACAGTGAAGTATTTTTCATTGTTACAAAATATTTCTATAAATTCTGATTTTTGAGCTTTGTATTTGTCAATAATCCTGAAAAAAAAATGTATCACAAATCAGCATATCAGAATGATTTCTGAAGGATCATGACACTGAAGACTGGAGTAATGATGCTACAAATTCAGCTTCGCCATAACAGGAATAAATTACATTTTTAAAATATTTTAAAAAAGAAAACAGTTATTTTAAATTGTAAAAAATATTTCACAACATAAATACAATTTTTTGATCAAGTTAATGTAGCCATGGGTGAGCATAAGACATCTTACCACTGAACATTTGAACAGCAAAAATGTTATCTGATATAAAATTCGGAGAAACCTAAACCTGTGCTTCACGATGCCATAGAAGAACCTTTTTGTCTAAATGGTTCCATAAAGAACCTTTCTGTTTCACAGAAGGTTCTTTGTGGCGAAAGAAGGTTCTTCAGATTACAAAAAGGTAAGAAATAGATTTTTATTTACAGAACCTTTGACTGAATGGTTCTTTGTGGAACCAAAAATGGTTCTTCTATGGCATCACTGTGAAGAACCTTTTAAAGCATCTTTATTTTTAAGAGTGTGACACAAACCCCATTGGGTTCAGATGATGAACTAGAGCTTTATTGGAGAGCTTTCAGTTAAAAGTACCAATGTTACTATGGCAAATGTCTAAAAGAAAGAGAAACTGGTAATACGATGTTACTTTTTATTAATGGTGTAATAGCGGCAGGGTTCACTTGTATGCGTAGGAGGGCCGGAATGAGTATGTGTATGTGTGTGAAGCAGTAAGCTGATTTCTGCTCTGTGACTCATGTTTAAGATGGCAAGATGTGTAAGAGGATCAGAGAGAGCAGTGAGGAGTTAGAGCAGGATTTACAGGTTCAATTACACTGCCTGTCATTAGTCTACTCTTGTTATAGCAGGGAATTATAATAATAATAAAAATAAAAACTTACACCAGGCCAACACACAGATTTCCCTCACCACCATCTGAGTTTGGAACATTGACTTCTATTGTTCCTAAATAAATCAGATTATTATTATTATAGAGTAACTACTAGACCCTGACCTTAGATGTGAATTCATTGTTGAAATTCTTTCTTGTGTTATAATTGAATGTTCAACATGTCATTTTGAGCTGCAGCTGCCACAGAAATTACACACTTTGCTTTTGACCCTAAAATACAGCTGGCATTTATAGATGTGTGTGTGGGGGGGGGGGGGGGGGGGGGGGGGGGGGGACGCCTAGTGTCTGTATAATTCTTTTTTAAAGAAAGAGATCACCCAAATTATTTATTTATTTATTTATTTTTAATGCTCA